TTTATAAAATTTCATAAATTCCCCAAAATTTTCTAAGTGACTAAATGATGAATTTTTTGAAACTCGAAGTGTTGTAAAGAGATAAGAGATGATGGAAGTGTGCAAAAATGGGGTGTCTAAATGTTTGAATTTCAATCATGTTACCAACATTTTAACATAATCCAAGTTTATACACACCCAATACTCAACTAAAAGCGGTGCTTATAGGAAACAACCATCTTTGGGCAACCATATACAATAGTGGCAATCAAAAAACTTGTTGTGATTGATGTCTATGCATTCAAATTGGTTTAAACAAGTTTTAATTCAAATTAAAGAGGCATAAATTATGGTTCTTGCTTGCACAACCTCTTAAGGTTTGAAATTCTTAATAAATATTGACCCAATTAAGTACAAATTCATAGGAACCCCAATCTAAAAGGTTTTAAGTCAAACCCCTCTATAAATAGGGGTTGAGAACTCAAGTTGGAAAAGTAATCAACCCATGGTGATGGGGCAATTGTTTGTCAAGTTGGTCAAGTAGTAAGGTTTGGATGTAAGTTTCTTCAAGATTAAGGACCTAATTAGGGGTGCAACTTGGGCAGGTCGGGTTAGGTTGACAGTCAACCTAGGTCCAACCCTAAAGGTGTAAAGCTCAGGCTTGGGCCTAGTCTAACCCAAGGTTAAGTCCAAGTTTATCAAAGTAGGCCCAACCTGAACTTAACCTAATACAACTTTGGTTAGGCTTGAGCTGGTGTTGGGGGCTGGGCCATGTAAGTCAAGCTTGGATGGGTTGGTAGGGTTTGAAAGAATTTATGTATATATTTTACATAGTCATATTTTATACATATACACATGTATATTATTTATATATATGTGTGTATTATGTATGTATTTTTTCAGATAAACTCACATCGGTCCAGGCTTGAGCTATGTAAGCCCTCAACCCAAGCCCAACCCAAGTTTRGGTCAAGTCTAAGTGTTTTGGCCCGGACTCAGCCCACAATCCAAAAACTTAGGCCCAAGCATGCAAAAACTTAGGTTGGGCTCAGGTTTGACCTACCCAAAGTTTCATGCTTAGGCCCAGTGAGGATCTACCACTTTTCAATTGAGAGTATTGAGCCTAAAGTGTCCTCCTTCGAGTTGCATGCCCAAAGGAGGTATATAGAGGTCATGAGAACAACTCTAGGTTGGTCACTCCACTAATCTAGAATTAGTAGATGGTTAAGAGTGTTAACTTGTATCTTAGGATTCTTACTCCTTCAACCACTTCTTTGGCCAATTCCAGTTCCAACCATGACGTAGGTAACTAAACTTTAAATTAGGACCATTAATTTGTTTGCATTTTCTTGCATCTCTAGTGCCATAAATTTTCTTCTAATAGGCCATAAATTTTGCTTCCACTTTATATTATATTTAGAAAATTGTTGATTTTAAAATTAATTTTTATTAATTTAAAAACCATTAATAAAAAATAATGCTTGACTTGGACTTTGACTGATTTAACCAAAATTAGGAATGCCAAAAGGCTCTTTGCTTTAATTTTGCTTAACAAAGCTTGTATATTGCATGAATCCCAACTAGTGTTCTCCTGTTCTAATGTTTAGCAAGCCTAGGAAGGGTCCTAGTTCCTTGAATATATAGAAAGTGAGTAAAACGATGGAGGAGAAAACTAGGCCTCTATAACTACATCAGTAAGCAAAAGTCATGCATGTTCAATATTACAAAAAAGGGTTTTCAGTTGGAGATGATTTATCTTTTATTTCTATCAATAAGGGTCTATGATTTGAATTAACTTTGGGTAGGTTAACTATGAGTTTGGGAAAGAGCATTTTCCAATGAAGATTTGCTAGCACTTTATGAATTCTCACTTGAATGCTACGGCCATCTTGATGGCTGGTCCATGTGAATTTTCACCCTTTCAATCTGAAATCCATAAGGTTACATTGATCAATGGTTTCCCAAAAACCTTTCATCTTCTGGCTAGTTATCCTTCTCACTAGGGTCCAAGATACTGTTGAAATCTCCCATGATCATCAACCTTGGTTGATGTATAGCTCCCGATGTTTGTATCTCATGCCAAGTTTGCATTCTTTGAGTGGCCTTCAAATGTTCATAGACAGTTGATGATATCCATTCAAGATAAGCTTTGTGCAAATGAATCACCATGAATTAATGCATCTACTTAATATGTGGGTAGTATTAACACGAATATCGTCATTAATTATTCGACAATAACTAGATACCACTTGAGTATTCTTTAGGTTTGACAATGTATGATCCACTATATCCAAGTCTTGACATCATTTTGGTGGATTTTTGTATCTAAGTTCTTGTTTCAATAATAATTATGAAGTTTGGTTTATGGTTTCTTAATTATACATCAATAAGAGCTCTCCCAAATGTTTTATTGTTTGTTTTGGTTCAGTTTGCGAAGAGTGCAAATACAAGGTTTAGAAATATCCCATGGACGATTTTGCATTGAACATATTAATTTGTTTTTGCATTCTTCCCAAACCAAGCCTCAAGCATTCCAGAAAAAAACATTTTCATGGATGGATAAGGCAGGTTTTGCATGTTATTTATAGCTTCACAGTTTTGCATGTTAGTCACATTGGGTGGTCAATGCTTCCAATAACTTCCCTTCATCGTTGTATAGGCAAATCTTCATTGTTTTGTTCCCATGACTATTTTCTTTTTGGAGAGAAAGCCCACAGGCTAATTCATTGCATCAAATCATCTGAAAGTACATGCCTAAGAAAACTTGGAGGAATGGACCAAGAGATTGGTCTTAGAACATTACAACCATGTTTAGCAAGTGTATGTGCAGCCTTATTAATTACCCTGTATGTGGTGTGAAGGAGATATAGTAATGATGAAAAATTAGCAGAAGCTTCTTGTAATCAGTAATGATGGAATGAAGCCGCCAAGGAACCTCAAGTTGAAAAGCTCTTGCTTCAGTGATCTCTGGCTCATCAAAACCAATGTAATAGAAAATCCAAAATGAAAAGCCCACTGATGATCTCGAATGACTATGCCAATACCAGAAGCGATCAATCCCTTGGATTCATCAACAATGGTTTTTAATTATTGGGTATGTAGGGGGCACACTAGTGAGCACTGTGATGGGGGTGAAGGGACTGACTGGTTAGAGTGATTACTTCTTTGTAGCTTCAAGAGAACAAGCTGATTGATTTAAGAGTGGGTTGCGATAAGGGTTGAAATCAATACCCTCCATAACTTTTTTAGTAAAAATACCTTCCATTAGTGCCAAAGATTGTTCCCTCACAAAAAAAACTGATACCATCACTAGCACCTTACCAAGTTTATTTCACTAGAAGACCATCCACTGACATAAATTCCAAGGGTTGTTGTTACCAGTTCAAAGAGAGAGGTTTCTACCAAACCAAATCGTAGTAGCTTAGTAGTGGAAAAACAAATGATCAATTTCCTCATCTTCCAAACTATAAAGTAGGCAAAGTCTTATCAATACTAGGGGAGGCTTTGGCCAACGCAGCTCTTACAGGTTGTGTGTCTATGATGCAACACCACAAAAAAAATCTTAGGCACATCATGGAAGGCAATATGTTGATTTGAAGAGCTACAAGATCATTGCAAAGTAACTTGTACCCCAATGCACATGTAAAACATCCATGAGGTGTAATTGTCCAGCAAAATCGGTTCTGAAGAGAGTGGAGGATCTCTATTCATAACTTCCCTTGCTACTTCTTGTTCAAACATGGAGGAGATGGCATCAACCTCCTATTGCCTTTAATCAAAGTTAGAGTTGCCACTTTGCAGTTCTAAGAGTGGGTAGTGGGTGGAAGTATATTTTATTGGGGATCTAGGGGTCTCCATATACATTAGAACTCCAACCGTTAGAGATCAAAATCGTTGAGCCCTTTAATCACTTCTAGAGCGCAATATGAACCGCCAAATGTAACAGTCAGAGCTCTTCTTCTTTACAGTCAAAAAAGAGTGTTGAGATCCAAGGTACTTAAGAGATAAAATAGAAGTCCATAGTCAGCCTTGCTCATTTAAGAACCTCCAAGAGAGTTGATCATAGATAAACCCTATTCTTCAAAGAGACATCTTAGAAACCCAATCCACCATTCTCCTTTCTCCTCATGAAATTGTGCCAACCATATAAATAAGTATGAGACTGACCAGGAGAGTAACCCCACYAAAAGTCTCTTGTAATGGCATTGCTTTTTGAACAAACCTACTGGGGAACCTGTTGAGTGGCCATCGAGTAAGAAGGGATAGCAGTGGTGGTGGATTTAATGAGTAATTCCCTGTCAGCATGAGATAGCTGCTCATTGTGGACCTCTGTTGGCTAATTCACCTATCCAAGCTGAAGCTCTAGCCATCTCAAAGGGCCTAGAATTCGTGAAGAGATTTCAATTCTCTCAATTTTTTTTTTTTTTTTTGTTTTTGTTTTTGTTTTTGTTTTTGGAAATATGGCTTTGTTAGTATCATCAATCAATGTTTTAAAAACCCAATCAGAGGCCGACCGTTTTTGCCTCATGATTTGATTGTGTCTATAATTATATTACATATAATATATGTATTATTTTATATTTTATTTATGTTTTTTAATTTTTTATTTATAAAAATATTAAAAATTGTGATTTGAGGTCAAAAAGGGTTTTTTTGATTGAAAATAGTGGAATAAGGTACCAATAAAACTTTAGGATGCATAGATCTCCAAAAGTTAACCCAAAATCAAAATAAAAAAAATCATCCCAATTGGACGTGAGAATGCAAAATTATAGCCAAGTTTACACATAATAAACCTACAACCCGATGATTGGATTGAACAACTCAACGGTTAAACTGCCCGGTCCGGATGTTTTTTGTCAAAGCATTTACGGTATTACATCTTTCTCGCATATTATAATCGGACACGGATTTTATCGGATCGGGTCGTGTATATGAACCATCCGGTTGAGATAATCGGGTCGGGTTGAGGATCAACGGGTATCGTTGATAGCCCCTTTAGTTTTGCTACAAACTACGAATCGCAGAGTACGCCAAACAACAGGAAAGCAGCTAAGCGCACGAAGGGGTCTGAGCTCAAGCACAAGCACTGTCGAAATGAAAGTGATGTTGAGACCTTCTCATTTCCCATCTCTAGCACCTCCAATTCTCTGCAATCCGAGGCTCTCTTTGATTTCTTCTCTCAACCTGTCAGCGTCATTGAGCCTTCTCAACTTCTCTACATCTGCTTCATTACTGCCATTTATTAACATGAACTTCACACCCATTTCATCTTCTCTTCATTTCAGAAGGTTGGGGTGGGCATCCCCCTTGATGGGCAGATCAAGATTGGAAAGAAGAGGTCGGTTTATTCTGTTAAATCCCGTCATTTTTCTTGTTCTGTTTCGATGTTTTGTTTGTGTATTTGGTGCTTCCATTTTAGGGTGAGCTGGGTTTTCCTTTTCCCGCCGTCTTTTGTTGATTTTTAATGAATCTTTTTAATTTTTTTAAATTTATCCAGTATTTAAAGATAAATTTTGGACATTCTTTCCTTGGAATTGGTTGATTATTGTTTTTATTATAAATGCCAGCTTTCCCTGTACGGATGTATCTGTTTTATTTTTTGAATATTTATTTAGTGCTAATTGGTTGTGTCTAATATAACTCCATTCTGATTCCATTATTCTAGTCAGTGGTTAGAAATTTCAGTTTTTCTTTTTTAAATGATTTATACTAGTCTATATCATTCATTCATTCATTCTTTCTGCTTCTTCTTCTTCATTTGATATTCTGTAATTTCTTTTTTTATTCTTTTTGTTCAGCTACATTTGGTGCTGTGAACAGTGTAGGAGGTAGAGAGATACTGGTCCAGCACTTGCTTGTCAGTGAAGACAACCTTAAGCTTCTATTGGAGCTTCAACAAAGAGTTTCCGGAGGTTATCTCTCATAATCATATATATCTAGATTTTTTATCAACAATTCTTGTGATTTTTATTGATTATGGGAATAAATCATTTGCAAAAGAATGTGTACTTAGCACCCCTTAAGAAAGTTAGGTCATCTCATCCTTTTACAATCTTTTCCCCTCAACAGTGCATTGCACGGGATAGTGTAATTTTTCTTTCTGTTATGAGATAGCCATAGATTAAGGTTAGATTGCGTAATTGCAGAAATGAGCGTTTACTATTTCCCATCTAAGAATAAAAATCCTTTTTTTGGTTCATATATTGCCAAGGGTATTGCAATTTCCAATACCTGAAAGGCATACATATTGATACAACAAATTTCCCCCCTATAGCATGAGTAATGAAGTTTAGTTTCCATATTTTCCAATATAAAAGGAGTATACTTAGAGTAGGATATTTTACAGAGTAAATTACCTAAATGGTACATGTGTAAGAGTTGAAACAAGAGGTATATGTTAGGAAACTTTGTCTACGCTTATAAGTGTCTTAATGCACTTAGCTTGATATTGAATGAGGAAGTTATAGTGGTTCATGAAAATGGCTATTTATGGAAATGGATTTCCTTAGCTTAGGGAGTTTGTCATCTCTCACTTCTACATAAGGGATATCCAAAGCAAATCTGGAAGTCATGTATGTTATCAACATAACCATATCTCTAATAAGATTGAAATAACTCCAGCTATCTTTATGTTGCTGAGTATAATATCAATTTCATTCTTTCATGCCATTCTATTGTTCCATCTAGGAGAGGATTTGAGTGACTTGGCTGTGGAGTACTCGATTTGTCCATCCAAAGAAAATGGAGGGATGCTTGGTTGGGTGCGGAAAGGACAAATGGTATATTACTCAATTTAAATCTTGCAACAACTTTTTAAATTACCAAGCCATGTTCCACTCCGAATTCTCAAAACCTTTTTATGTTTTTATTCTTTTTCTTTTCTTCTTTTTTTTCCTGTTTTTATTAATGTATAGAAGTATAGTTACAAAGTTATAGGTGCCAACAACCCGAAAGAGAAATCTTCATGAAGGTAAATCCAAGGTTCAAAATTTCAATGTGATACACCCCATTTTGGGCGTATCATTTCGTATCTTTTGACTCCCGATACACCTATTTTAAGGGAATTTTGAGAAGTCTTTTTTTAATAAATAAAGTATATAAAAATAGCCCATTCTATAAAATTGAAAAAAAAACTAAAAAAAGAAAAGTTCAAAGTATTGATATACCCCTTCCGGATTGGGGTGTATTGATATTTTGAACTTTGGATCAACAATGCACCTGGTAAACTATGGGAATCATCCAACTGCTTGAGCATCATCACTATGGGTTCTACTAGCCCCTATGTGTCTGTTGAAACCACATACCTACACACATCAATCTTCAGCTGATGACTTGATGAGAAAGAAGGTGATTAACCTGGTGCATAAACATGCCAGATGTTGATGAAAGTTGCATCAAGGATAATTTATTTCATACATTGTATTATTTAATTTATTCAGATTTGTTGATAAACAATTTGTTTGAATTATTTGTCATAAAGAATGGTCATTGAATCTTGACTAGTTGACCTAGAATGTGTGCCCAAGCTGTTCTACCTGGACTATCAGACACACTCTGAAACAAATTTCACTTTCACCATCTTAACTCAACAAAGCCTTATCCCAACCATGAGATCTGTTACATGAATCTTGTTCTACCATTCCACTATATTCAGTGCCATGTTGAATTGAAAGCTTCCCCCCCTCCCCCCTCCAAGTGGTACAAGTCTTCCTTATGAGTTTCTTATTATTTTTTGGCAAGTAAAAAGGAAAACTTTAATAAAAATTTAAAACTGTACAACAGAAGGATGATGAGCTAACACCCTAATGCATTTATCCTCTCTTTTCTTTCTTTTTCTCATTCTTTCTATGCTCTCTTTCTTGTCTTTTGATTCTCTATTACTAATTTAATTAAGATCTTTTGGTTAGCATCTCTTTTAGCTCTAAATAACATGACCATTCTACTCTATTCAGTGTCATCTGCCATGTTGAATTCAAAGAGTTTTTTTTTTTCTCAAGTGGTGCAAGTCTTCCTTGTGTTTTCTTCTTAACATAAACCTTTGATGTTTCTTTTTGTCTCTTCTTTCTATATTCTCTTTCACCTCTAATTCTCTATTACCAGTTTAATCAAGATCTTTTGGTATCTCGTTTAGCCTTCATCCGGGATTTAAATCACTTATTGGGACCTTCCACACAACCTACATAAATTTCGTCTTTTCCTTTTTCAATTAGTCTTTTTGATAGGACCTTTCCTTTTCAATTTCTGTAGTTTTAACTTTTCTTTGTCCTTTTCTCCATGGATTGTTTTTTGTCTTTTTGTACAATATCACTTTATATCCCTACCTAATTTAGTACTTCCTCACTGTTCTCCATTATTATTCACTTTGCTAGGTTTCAATGCAAAATTCCAAGCAAAACTCTAATTTTCAGAATTTTTGGGTTTTTTGTCTTTTTGATTTTCAGAATTTTCATTGAATTTTCATTGAATTTTTGGGTTTCAATGAAAATAGCCATGACCACAGCTCCAGTGTTGGCCACCCCAAACTTCAGCCAACCTTTCACCCTAGAATGTGATGCTAGTGGAGGAGGGTTGGGGCAGTTCTCTCCCAAAATGGGAGACCTCTGGCTTACTTTAGGAAGGCACTTAAGGGACAGACTCTGAATTTCTCCACATATGACAAAGAATTATTATCTATAGTCACAGCAGTTAAGAAATGGAGATTTTATCTCCTTGGCAACAAATTCCATATTCTCATAGACCACAGAAGCTTGGGTTGTATCCTACAGTAAAAGCTCATGACACCAATCCAGCAGAGACTCTTGAGCAAACTGATTGGGTACGATTATGAGATCAGGTACAAAAGGGGAAGAGAAAACATTGTGGCTGATGCTCTCTCGTAAAAGTGGAGGTGAGATGTTGGCAATTTCAATGCAAGTGCCAAGCTGGGTAGAAGAGCTAAAAAAGGAAGTTTCCAAAGACTCCCAATTACAGAGCATCATCCAAGAGCTCATAAAAGGGACTTCAAAGACTAAATATGAGTGGAGAAAAGGAATGCTTTGGAAGAAGGGCAGAATAGTGTTGAGTCCCACTTCTAATTTTAGGAGAACGCTGTTTGAAGAAGCCCATGAAACTCCATCTGGTGGGCATTCAGGATTTCATAATACTATGTAGAGATTGAAGAGGGTATGTTGGTGGAAGGGGTATAGAAAAGAAGTAAAACCTTGGGTCAAGGAGTGTGAAATGTGCCAGAGGAATAAAGCAGAGAATGTACCCACCCCAAGGCTGCTACAACCATTGAACATTCCAGCACAGGCGTGGACTGATATTTCTCTTGACTTCATAGAAGGTCTGCCCCCTTCCAACAGAAAGACAGTGATCCTTGTAGTTGTGGACAGATTCACCAAATATGGACACTTCTTGCCTCTTTCTCACCCTTTCACAGCCTTAGAAGTTGCTAAGACTTTCATGGAAGGGGTCTTCAAGCTACATGGGTTACCTCAGTCTTTACTAAGTGATAGGGATCCAATCTTCACCGGCAATTTCTAGAAGGAATTGTTCAGAATTCAAGGGACCTGTCTCAACATGAGTTCCTCATACCATCCACAGACGGATGGGCAAACGGCGGTGCTCAATAGGACCTTGGAGACCTATCTTCACTGTTTTACCAATACCCAACCCCATTCCTGGATCAAATGGATTTCCCTGGAAGAATGGTGGTACAATATCACCTTCCATCTGGCTTCAAAAACCACTCCATTCCAGGCTTTGTATGGATATCCTCCACCTACCCTGATATCATACATTCCAGGGACGACTCAGGTGCAGTCTGTTGACCAAGAGCTAAGGGAGAGAGAAATTGCATTAACAAAACAAAGAGAGAACCTCCAAGTAAACCAAAACATAATGAAAAGAATGGCAGACAAGGGAATGACTGAAAGAGTTTTCCAAGTTGGAGACTGGGTATTCCTGCGGCTTCAACCATAAAGACAGAGTTCAGTTGCTGCCTGCAAATCTCAAAAGTTATCTGCTCGCTACTATGGTTCTCGAGAAAATAGGAGCTGTTGCTTATCGGCTTGACCTGCTAGAAGGAAGTGGAATCCATCCTGTATTTCATGTGTCCTGGCTTAAGGCCAAGGTAGGTGATCACTCTGTTACTCACCAAGACCTGCCACCTCTGTTGGCGGATGGAACACTGCAGCCCAACCCTGTCGCCGTCCTAGATAGGTGTTCGGTTAAGAGAGGCAACAAGGCAACTACAGAAGTTCTGATCCTGTGGGAGGGAACAAGATCAAAAGATGCCACCTGGGAGAACTGGAGCGAACTGTAGAAGAAATTCCACAGGGCAAGCCTCGAGGACAAGGCATGTCTTAAGGGGGGTGGGATGATACAACTGGATGGTGGAGAAGGACACGTGGCAATTCCCTGAAGAAGGCCACACCACTCGACGACCAATTCTATTAAATTTTACAGAGACCATTGTAAGAACTGTTAGACTCAGCTGTAGAAGGGTAGAATAGGCTTTTTACATTAAGTTATATGTTAAATGTAATTATGAGTAGATCTTAAGTTAGCTTATGTGTCTCTCACTTAAGTGAGGGCATAAGAGTAATTCTGATTGTTTAGAAAGGTATAAATAAAGTCTGGCCGACTAGAGAAGTGACTTTTCTCTCTAGTTCAACTAGAACAGTTTTCTCTCCTTCTCTTCTCTTTTTCTTCTTCTTCTGCTTCTTCTTCTTCTTCTTATTATTATTCTTATTCTTATTATTATTCTTATTCTTATTATTCTTATTCTTATTCTTATTCTTATTCTTATTCTTATTCTTATTCTTATTATTATTATTATTATTATTATTATCTGAAATTGTACGAACACTACATCTGAATTCTATCATGGTATCAAAGCCACGATAACTAGTTCAGATCAATCTTCTTTTTCTCCTTCTATTCAGCGCATACTCTCCTGGGGTTTTGCAGAATTCTCATTGATAGCTAGGTGTTTCTCAGAAAGAAAAAAAAGGACTGATCGTTTTCTTCTTCTGGGGGTTTTCATGCCTCCAATGAGTGAAGTTGTTGTGGTTTTGTGTGGTTGGTAGAAAACCTTCTACTCGGCTGTTCGAAGAGAGCTGGTTTCAGGTGTCAGGATGGTGACAGTGCAGATTTGGTGAAGTAGTTACATGATTGCTGAACCAAATTGTGACGTGTAGCAGTGAGATAGTTAGATTACATGAGTGTAGCAGTGAGAAACAAATTGTGATATGTTGCAGAACCAAATTTCCTGTTCGTGAGGTGTATTGTGAGGGTTTATGGTGCTGAAAGTGGAAGACAGCAGTGGTGTTGTTGCTAAAAGTGGTTTACTGTGAGTGTTGTTTTTGAAACCTATGATAGTAGGTACCCTAGTAGTAATCAATCGTTGGTGTGTACGGTGACTAATTAGCGAAGTAGGGTGACAAACTAGTGGTAGAATTTCTTCCCTTTTTCCTTGTGTAGTCATGGGAGAATGCAGTGAATGCAAGTCTAGTGTGATGGTCCTTTCTGATTATTTGAATGTGCAGATGACATCTATAAAACTGAATGGTGAGAATTATGTGCTTTGGGCTAAATCTGTTGAGGTTTTTTTGAAAGCTAAGAAGAAAGTGAAGCATGTGAGGGAAGATAAACCCCCAACTGATTCTCAGGGATATGATGAGTGGGAGCAAGAGGATGCGCAAATTATGACATGGCTATGGAACAGTATGGAACCCAAAATTAGTGTGAACTTCATGTTTTTAGATACAACCAAGGAGGTCTGGGATCATGCAAG